GATTAGGGTTCAAGTAGATCCTTGAATATTGTATTCTAAATTCAGGGAATATGATTCCCAGTTGGGAGAAGGTAGGAAATTTTTGAAATTCGCCCCACCCATTCCGCAACCTTCATGGCGTCCATTAGATGGATCCTACCATTCTTTCACTTTCTTCCTCTTTTATTCAGAAAGCTCTTCATTAGATGACAAAGATAATAGGACATGTCATTAACGAAATTATTGCTCCATTATCTAGATGAAAAGGTAAATACAATCCGCAGCAATGAGTTTTAATCTGCTGTGCGCATTGCTGTATAGAGTAAATACCAATTAGTGAAGATGGCTGTACCTCCCATCTGTATGGCTCTAGACTTGTGCAAAAGTTAAAGGGATGATTTAAGTCCTTTGCACACAAGTCAGAGCTAATAAAACATGGGATGCACAGTTGTCCATTGCTGGCTGTATGCATTAGCAATGTGTCAAGTATTCTTTGCATGGCAGATCTGAACTTGGGAAGTTTTCTCCTCAAAGTTGAAATTTGAGTAATTTAGCTATTAGATTGCTTTTCCCTGCAAGCACTTTATTTGGTCTATGTAGCTTTGAAATATTGCCCATGGAAAAGGAGCAAAGAAAAGGGAAAGGGGAAGGTTGGCTTGTTTGTGAACACATCTTGTACATCTTTCACAAAAATTAATTTGTTTAATGTTTACACATACACTACAAGATCCATCCAACAATTCCAAATTCGGATATGATTGGTTGATAGGAAAATGTGACATGATTGTATTGAGATGCTTTAGGAAGATGGAAATATTCTTTGCACACCCAAGAAATTTGCAAGAAGAGAAGGTTTGTTGTTAGTTCGCATGGAATTTGTTATGTTTCTTGGATTTGTTGTTAGTTTGCAGGGTATTAGTGTTGATGAAGAGAAGGTAAAGGCAATAAGGGACTGTCCTACACCTAAGAATGCGAACGAGGTAAGAAGTTTTCATGGTTTAGCATGTTTTTATCGAAGGTTTGTTAAGGATTTTAGTTCTATTGCTGCACCTTTGAATGAACTTGTCAAAAAGAATGTTGTTTTTAAGTGGGATGAAGTGCATAATCGAGCGTTCAAAACTTTGAAAGATAAGCTAACTAATGCACCTTTGTTGTGTTCGCCTAACTTTCATAAAGCTTTTGAGGTAGAATGTGATGCATTTGGAATTGGAATAGGGGCTGTTTTGATGCAAGATTCCAAACCAATTGCTTATTTTAGTGAAAAGCTAAGTGGGGCAGCCTTGAATTATCCTACTTATGACAAGGAACTTTATGCATTAGTGATGACTCTTCAAACATGGCAGCATTACTTGTGGCCAAGGGAATTCATCATTCATTCTGATCATGAGAGCTTAAAGTTCTTGAAATCCCAAGGTAACCTTAATAAAAGGAATGGTAAGTGGCTGGAGTTCATAGAGATATTTTCTTATGTGCTCAGGTACAAACATGGAAATGAAAATGTTGTTGCTGATGCATTATCTAGGAGGTACGCATTACTTACATCTTTGCAAACTAAGTTACTTGGTTTTGAATTGATTAAGGATTTGTACGCTCATGATTCTGATTTCGGCCAAGTATGGAATGCATGTTATAAGTGTGCGCTTAATGATTTCTATAGGCATGAAGGATTTCTGTTTAAGAAAGATAAATCGTGTGTGTCTATTTGTTCTATTCGTGAGTTAATTG